TTTTATTTTGTTTAAACTGAAGATATTTTCACTAGAATTGACGAATAAAGATCTATTATATATTCCTTAGTTAAGTGGCAATGTATCACAACGGAGCCGGCCAACTGCTAACTACTTACTTCACCCGCATTACACCCATAATTATTACTACTTTTAATTTTTTATATTTTAATAAATTATTTATTTTTATTGTTATTATATAAATTAATGAATTATTATTATCTACAATTTTTTTAATAATTAATATACGTTTACTAGAAGATAATATACAAGTGAGATATTAATTAAAAAAGCAATAGATAAAGAAAATAAATAGAAAAATAAGTATTTTTTTTTATAAAACCGAGTACAAATATTTTTAAAATAACAAAAAAATACTAGAAATGTAATTACTTATTATTACGAAAAATCTAAAGATATTCATTTTAAAATTTGAAAAAAATACATTACTAATTCGAAAAGTTGAAAAAAAGAAGAAGAATAGCACATATTATTATTTGTAAACGACTAAAAATTGAGAGATTGAAGTATTATGAAAACTGTGTGTGTGTGTTTTTGGATAGAATGATAGATTAATAAAATAATGGGTGATTACTTATTAAACGATGGATTTTATTTTTCTACTGTAACGTGGGCTCCCAACATGGGAAAAAATTGTCCTCATAGAGAATAGACGTGACATTTACAGAATGTGACATTTCGTTGGAGTAAATGCATAGCAGAATTCAATGGTTGATTACTTACTTCAATTTCATCTTTCCCACCTAAATGACAAATGAGTGCCTCCTTTTCTTTTTCCTTCTTTTTCTTTTCCTCTTTCTTTTTCTCAGAAACTTTAAAAGATTTATTACTTAACCCTCTATTTAGATAGCTTTTACCTAAATAAAAGGCAATTGTTGATAATAGGTTGCCTTAACTCCAATTTTAATGGATGGGGAATTTCAAAAGTTAGAAAATTTTAAAATATAAAAAATGTGAATATATCTTTTATTTTTATTTCAATAATCATAATTCGACGCAATTTCACCATGAAATAATTTAATTATTAACGATTTATTGTTTGATTAATCTTTTTTGTACTGCTTGATTTGCTTTTTATTATTATAGTTTTAAAAGATTAAATTGTAAATATTAACGTTAGACAAAAGTTATACTAACAAAATAAGGCTAATTAACAAAAAATTATTAGTAAATATTGTTTTTTAATATTTGTAATTTTGAAAATAATTTATTAGTAGAAGCAAAATAAAGGAGTATATAATATAACTAAAAAGGTGACAAAACATGAAAATATAAATAAGATATAGTTTAAGGGCTAATTAACGAGGTATATGAAGAATAAACAAAAGAATAAACTCGGTAGCCATGCATGTCATCAATTGTGATGGTGGAATCATTCAACAATTACAATATCATTCTTTATAAAATAAAATAAAGTTCCATTGAAATCGTGTTTGATTGGTAGGGGAATTGTTCAAAAGTTTAGTAACCCATGCATAGCCAGCAATGCGACGTGCATGGAATATTCTCTAACTCGAATTTGTAAGCGATAATGAAAGAGATTAACTTGCAAAGTCTTTGATTTATTAGCTCTACCGTAAGATAACAAACTTGAACATGGATTAGTATTTCCTAACATCAAGTTATTCGGGTTGATACTTCACTTTTACATGCACCTAAAAAACACGTGAGGGACCATGAAAGCAACACAATGCGTAACACTCGCCCACAACAATTGAAGAAACTTGGCCATTGACAATCGATTCTCACTTCTTATTCATCACTAATGTTTGATTTTGCTACATTCAGAACTATAGTTTATACGTAAGACAAGGAAGAAATTAGATTTCCCAATTTCAAAGTGAGTTCACAACGTACGTGAAAAGTTATAATTACCGATTCAAAATCCATCAATTAAAATTTGAGGAAGATATATCTAAATTTTAAGACATATTTTATTAATTTTTAATTAACCAATTTTACTTTGTATTTCTTAAATTGTATATAACTCTTATTTTAAAAGTGTTAAATCTCAAATAACCGCTTTGATCTTGATGACATAATTTTTAAAAGTTTATTTTTCTGAGTTAAAACTTTGAATCAAAAGCTGTATAAAATAAACTTGATGAAAATAAAGTTGAATAAAAATTCACAGTTAAACGAATTAAATTAACATACGTAACATTTAATTTATAAGAGATAGAAAAAATTAAACAGAGGTGTATCTTTCAAAAAGGTTATACAGTAGCATCTTGACCATGGAGTTCTCAACTCCAACTAGCCTTCTAGAGAATGGGCGGTGCATGAAAAATTTAACTTTCGCTTTATTTACCTCAGATTTTGCTCGACAAAGAAAAAGTCAATGATATCATGATACATTAATGCAATTGCGGAGGTTAAAAGTGTAAATGAATGCCAGTGGAAAATCATGGACACTAATATTTTTCTTATGTGCTCCAACTTTTCAATATTAGAGAAGTACAAGATGTGGGTTCGTTTTCTATATGGCAAAATGCATTTTCATGACTTAAATGCCTGTTCCATCGAGGATGAAACGCATTTACAAGATGTAGCAGTTGTCATTTTCCTTCTTTAATTCTGCTTTTTCTTCATTAATGTTAGTGCTAATTAGAAGATGCTGATACTGTCTTAGGTTGCGTTTGATGCACGTTCTATTTATAGTAAGGTGCAAATCTTATCTTGTGTTTAATGGAGCAGCCAAACTTTTGCTGACTATAAAATAACCACAAGAAGTTCATTTCAGTTTCAGTTATGTTTTTACTTTCAAGAAATATGGCATAGTTTTATATATTTTTTTTGTCTGGGACCCATATTTTTTTTTTTCCAGCATTTGAGGTTGATGGCATGCTTTCATTACCTTTTTTTCTTCTTTTTTCAGAAAAAGATATTCATGGTGAGTAAACATTAAGCAAGTGAACCTAGCATGGATGCTAATGCGCTTGCAATGAGTATCACGTGACAGAACTGCATTGCTTATACATTTGTAGGTTTTAGACTTTGATGATTGAATAATATAGTATCATCATATCGAAAAAAATTATTTATTAAATTTAATTATGATGAATTTTTATTGAATAAAATTTGTCTTTTTTTTTTCATACGATAATATTATACTATTTAACAACATGAAATATCAAATTAGTAGGTTGTAAAAAGTTAAATTTCATTTGTTAAACAAAATATGTTGGCCGGATATTAAATTGCTATGGCCGCAACATTCTGATTGTGGTAGCTGCAGCAACTGTATTAGAGGGTGATTACAGATTCCATTGATTGCAGTTAGCAACAAGTGAGAACCTTAATTTGGAAATTTAATTTCGCCTGTAATTAGGAAAGAAGATTATTCAGAAACCAGACCCTCTGTCTCCAAAAACTAGGAAGAATTGTTTGGAGCCACCATACTGGATATTCTGAAGAGTCACAATTGATAACCCATGCACACACAAGTAGAAGCTTGTGACCGAATTTCATTTTATATGAACCCCTTTTTAATTAAAATGAAGTGCCTGTGAAGTGTGAACCCTGTTTTTCATGATTATGACAAAAGTGGATCATTTCCTATTCCTGAATTATAGGACATTTCATATGTCCAATAATGATGAGTACTTAGTACTCATATATTACATGATAAACTTGAGTCATTCTCCCTTTAATTGTAATCATATTTTAATATTCAAGAATAAAAGGAGGGAGAGTCAACTCTATCTCTTCCTCACTCATACCCCCAAAACAACCATAACTTCAGCAGGCTTTTACAAGTCCAGGAAAAGATAAATAAATATCCATGAATGAGTTTCCTTAGTTGAACAGTCAAGATCAAGTCAAAATAAGTATTTGTTGCGTTAGTTTTAGGTATCTAATTATTGTGAATGAATCCTCTCTATTCCTAAGCAAATGGACACTTGCGGATTAAAAATTTTAAATGTATTGTAACAATTTTGATGGTTAGATTAGAAAATTAAAAAAAAAAAAAGGTCTAAACTCTTGCTATATTACTAGTTATTATTAACTTGTGATGTGTTAAGGGGAGGGAAACACGAGTGTAATTTTTACGTATAACAGAATTGAAATTTTGCTCCTTATATTTTATCTTCTTCTAACTTATCAACTTATCACTGAGCTATCATGCATGATCTGTTACTAATTTTAATATTGGTTGTTCAAGCTTTCAAATCATGTCAACCTCGACCACATTGGTTTATGGGGCGATGGCCCTGTACATACCATCGGCTTGGAGCTCCACAATTAGTGAGTTTAAATTATAAATATGAGTTGTCTCTAATAAAATTAAGATATTGTATTAAAATTATATTAATTTCTTAATCATTTTTTAAAATAAAATCTCATTAATGTACCAAGATAGACAAACTCTCGAAAGAAGCATTTAACAATTAGCTAGCTAGCACTTCCTTCTTTGAACATACAGGACAAGGAGTGGATAAATTTTCTCAATTAAAGCAAAAGGCATAATCATAAAGATGACCCACTAGCATTGAACACCGAGCAAGTAGCAATGCATTATGCATCGTAGGTTAGAGGCAAACATCCATGGGGGGATTGATCAAGAACCCAACTCATCACCCAACTCAAATTGTCATTAAACTTCCTCAAACTGGCAAAATAAAAAAAAAAGGGACTTGTTCCTTAAGACATCAGCAAGCACTTGATTCTCTTACCTATTTCAGAACAATTTCAGCATACAAGTAAATGCTACGCAATCATGCTCATCTTTTTCTGCCCGCACACACCCACTTGAGATCCCACTGTTTTCCTGCCTTCTCAAGCAAAATCCAACTGGCTACTACAGAACTATCTCTCCATTGACACACCACCTTTCAATAATATCCAAGCAGATAATTAATACTAACATAACAGCTAAGGTTTGCTAACTAAACATTTCACCTACCATCAACATAATCCCTTTGAATCCTCAATAAATAATTCACTCCTTCCCTCACTCCCACATCAAGTACCACTCTTCCATCCTCTCCTTGAACAACTACACCCTCACTTGCTACAAGTGAACTAAAAGATGGTAACAATGAAGCATTCTCTCCTCTCTCTCTCTCTTCTTGTAATGGTTCTCTTCTACTCCACCATCACTTCAGCTCAAACCCCCGCCCCATCACCTTCATCAGCTCCCACAGACATAATCAGAATCCTCAAAAAAGCTGGTGGATTCACCACTCTAATCCGTCTACTGACCACAACCCAAGTGGCAACCCAGATAAATGCCCAACTGCTCAACTCAAACAATGGATTAACATTGTTTGCACCTAACGACAATGCCTTTTCAAGCCTCAAACCTGGCTTCCTCAACTCACTAAATGATCAACAGAAGAACGAGATGATCCAGTTCCACGAGTTACCCACATTTGTTTCCATCTCAAACTTTGACACTTTGAGCAATCCAGTGAGAACACAAGCTGGTGATGACTCGGATAGGTTGGCATTGAACATAACAAGTTCAGGAAACCAAGTGAACTTAACCACCGGGGTTGTTAACGCCACAGTTGGTGGTAGTGTATATTCTGATCATCAACTTGCGATTTATCAAGTGGACAAGGTGCTTCTTCCAAGGGACTTTTTCGTTCCTAAGCCTCCACCACCGGCTCCTTCACCAGAAAAAGCTAAGGCTTCTGCGAAGAAAGCTACAGAAGGTCCTGCATCTGCTGCGGATAATGACTCTTCTGACGCGAGTTTGAAACAGAAGGAGAATGCCGTGTGGGTAGTGACTGTTGCAGCGGCTGCAGTTGTGGGAGCATCGTTTTCATTGTGACAATGAAAGCTTTTCAACACGTTACCAACTATGTGCATGAACTATGGTACTTTGGGGTCCAATGTTGTTGTGCTTCGTTAATTTCTACCTTTGATTGGATTAAAGAGGAATCGTGAAAGCTTTGGTAGCTCTTTCCAATGATTCCTTTCTTTTCATTTATTTTCCCCCCACTCTTTTTACGAATGGAGTCAGTCTGTGGTGAAAATTGCATTAGATTTTTAAGGCTTTTCTTTTTCTTCCTTTCTTTATTTGTTCATATCTTATGCTATATTGAGAATTTTGTGTTCTCTTGTAAGTTGCAATTAAAAAACTTTCACGTTTCAATAGAAAATACGACAAAAGTTTGTTTTTTTTTTTTTTTACGAAATTGATTATTTTTATCCTTCCATTTTTAGTGAGTACCTTTTATCTAGAAGTAGCTGGAAACTCATATGCTAGTACACTTGCCCTGTATGCCCCATCTCCATGAAAGTCTTAGCCAGTGCTTCTTTCCGCCTTCCAACTTAATAGATTCTCTCTATCTCTATTTCACTTTCACGGGTGAGTATTAAAACGCCATAGGAAAAGAAAGGGGTTAGCTCTTAGCTCGCTGGTAGTACTGATACAATCAATATGTACACACATATTAGTAAACTAAAAAGCAGAAAGATCCTTTCAAAAGGGGGTTGGATACTCACACTCGGGAACTTTTCCCAATCTCTCTTCAAACTTACCTTTTCATTAAGGTTAGAACCTTCCTAAAATTCTGGAGTTTCCAGCTATGCCGCACTCTCAAATCCACTCATAAAAGCATAGCGAGAGATACTTCTGATTCTTTCTTTTCTTCCTCAGTTGTCGAGGAGTCAGCCTTTCATTAAAAGTAATTTTACGTTGAACATTTTTCAGGTGAAAATTTAGTAGACCCAACTTTAGTATTTTTAGTTTATTTTTTTTATAAGTAGCAAAATTGATGCTTAGATACTAATCATTTGGGTAGGGTGTGACAAAGAAGAAAGAAACAACGTAAAAGGAAATAAAGTAGTAATGAGAAATTTTAGGACTGGCTTGTTTTAGAAAAGTTTTTTTATAATTAAAAATAATATTTTATTTTCATTTTTTTAGAAAATTTATACAAGAAATAAAAAAATTATTTTATTTTTGTTATAAATCTTTAAAATAGGGAAAAAACGAAAAATAAAGATGAGAAATATTATAATCACGGTTCCATTTAAAAAAAAATTACTTTACCTTGAGACACCATCTTTCCGTAGAAGCGAGAAAGAATTTTAGACCATGGCATTTACCCCTTTTTTCATTGGATCTTGATTGCTACACACAATAAATAAATAAATAAATAAAAATAAAAGAATACTGAGACCACACACACAAAAACTACAAACAATAAAACTGTAGCTAAGTCCTTATAATCAATTTAAAGCTATTTATAGAGACCAAAAACTCGTTTAAATTTGTATATGACTACATTAAAAACACAACATATGTAAGTGAATTTAGCACGTATATTTCTGTAAAATAGATGTAATAGACGTATGTCATTATTTTATTTTAATTTTAATCTTTTACTTTTCCAAAACTTCTATTAAATTCAAATATTATAAATAATTTAAGTTTCATATAACAGATAAAATAACTTTTATTCTTTGAACAATGATAACTTAATCACATTTATTTTTTAATTTATACTAATTAGCCAATAATACATATATTTACTAAAATCAGCAGTTTTTCAAGTAAAAGCGAAGACTTTTTTGACAACCATAGAGTGTATATTACCTTGAGAGAGACGCGATAAGAAGACAAATAAAAATGATATTCATACACTCACCGAGTGTGTGTGTGTATATATATAGTGAGAGTGAGAGAATTAAAAAAAAAACCTGAAAATATAATAACATGACGTGACATGAAGAGAACGATATAAAGAAAAATGAAGTGAGAGGGAAGTAAAAATGCTGTAGGTATGTGTTATGTCGTTACTGAAAGGGTAAGGGTCAATGGTGCGGAATTACTACATGTCTTGTATTAGTGCTGTTCCTTGCTACCTTCATGAGGGCTTCTCTGTAACCTGTTTATTGTTGCTTCCCATCACTTTCTTTGCACTAAGATTTCAGAAACAATTACGTAAATATGTCCATTTATTAATGTAAAGCATCAATTAAAGTTTGGCATAGATGCCAATAAAAATAAGATAAAAAATCATTAATCTCCATGAGAGGTAATCTATACCCAATAATACAACTACAATTATAACGTTTCACCTAACTGCCATTTCCTTAGTCTCAATATAAATCGCTCCCCTCCTCACCTCCAACACATCAAACATAAACATACTTCCACAATCACCAAAGCCAATTCAATTACCATTTACCAACTGCAAGATGAAGCAAGGTCTCTTTTCCTTTGCTCTCCTCCTACTCATGTTCATGCTTTCTTCATTCTATTCATCCACCACAGCAGCACAAGCACCTGCAGCTGCACCAAAAATTTCTCCAAAAGTTGCACCAGCCCCAAAGGCTAAAGCGCCTTCATCAAAACCTTTTGTCCCCACATTACCACAATCTCCAGCAGACGCCTCTGATTCAACCCCTGATGACATCACAAGGATTCTAAGGAAGGCCAAAACATTCACCGTCCTAACACGCCTCTTGAAAACCACAGAAATCATGAACAACGTCAATTCACAACTCATAACAACAAAAGGTGGAGGCTTAACAATCCTTGCACCTGATGACGCTGCCTTCTCAAACCTCAAAGCAGGCTTCCTCAACTCTCTAAACGAAGGCCAAAAGATTGAACTGTTGCAATTCCACATTCTTCCACAGTATGTTTCCAGCTCTAATTTCGATTCTCTGAGCAACCCAGTTCAGACAGTGGCTGGTAAAGACCCCAAAAGGCTGCCACTGAACGTGGAGTCATATGGTAGCAGTGTGAACATATCAACGGGTGTTGTGAATGCCACAATAACAGGTGTAGTGTACTCAGATAACAAGCTTGCCATATATCGTTTGGATAAGGTGCTGCTTCCTTTGGATTTCTTTGTAAAAAACGCTCCAGCTGCAGCTCCTGTAGAGGCAAAAGCACCAAAAGCTGATAAGGAAAAATCAGCTTCAGAAGATGAGGATGAGAACACACCGGAGCAGAACAAATCTGGGGCAGCGACTTTAACTAGTTTCAGAGGAACCTCAGTGTTGTCCCTTGGGATAGCTTTCATTGCGGTAGCAACGTTATGGACTTGAAAATGATGGTATTATATCAGTTATCATCCATATGGCAGCTTCATCGAATTTCTAAGTCAGGAGTTTTTCTTTGTTTTTCTTTTCCTTTAAATTTTGCTACTTTTTTTGCTGTGGATTGTATTGGCGTTGCATTATGAAGGGGATGGATCCTTGCGGGACTTCCTTTTTGAATTTACTGAGTCTAAATTCTGTGTTGATTTTCATTCTGTCTCGATGACTAGAGTATATACAAAACAGAATTTCATAAAAAGTTTTTAGTTTCAGCATTTACATTTCAGCAACGAAGTTATATATTTTATGATAAAAGTAAAAAATAAGATAACGGTCGCCATGAAATATTAACAATTTTCACGAAGTCGTAAATAGCTTGTCAGTAGACATTCTTTTATTTAAAAAAAAAATTGTCAAAGATGATCCCGTTTGATATTCTCAATTTGGACGAATGTTCGTTAATTTATTAAAACAAAAATCAAAGCAGAAAAATATACTTAATCATTTGCATTTTGGATATGTAAATTTATATTAAGCTTAATTACATTTTTATTCTTTTTTAAATATCACAACTTTATTTAGTTCTTATTTTTAAAAAGTTAAATTTTAGACCTTTGTAAAAAAAATTCACAAAGTTCCTCTATTAGTTATTATTTTTATAATTATTATGTTTATTAAGTGTTTAGACAATAAGAGATTAAATAGAAAATTTTATAATTTTTAAAGAATTAAATAAATAATAAAGTTACACTTAACAAACAAAACAAATTGAACACTAGCAACTGGACTATATGTAAAACAATTTTCTTATGAAGATTTAATTACAATTTTTAAAAATAAAAACAAAATAAAAAAGTAGAAAATTTAAAGGAACCAAAACTAAAATTAAATTGTCCTATTCAATTTTAATCTTTTGTTTGGTGAGTTAATGTAATAGGGTAAGTTTGTATCATGTATTTATCTTATTTTCTTATTTATTAGTTTAGAAAGTTATCTTAAAGATGCGTTCAGTAATACATAAGTTAGATTAGAGAAAACTTTCCTTTTCACCTCGCATCATGCAACTTCTTTATTCTACAACTAAGTAACACTATAATTTTTACTGTTGTTATATTGCATACTTTTATATATCATTGTTTTTATAATTATTATAATTATAATTAATATTATTATCAATATCATTGTAATTACAAATACAATTATTACTATTTTTATCTTTATTGTTATTATTATTATTATAACTATTGTTATCACTAATAAGATTGTATCACCAAGTTTTATTGTTATCTTCATTATATAGTTGCTATTATCTTTTCTATGAATTTTCATAACAATAATTTTCTTATTTATGTACATTTATAATATTATCTACTTGATTACGTGATGTGCATCTATTATATATATATATATGATAAAAATTCATCTTTCTGTGTCTTTTCTATTACTTTTCATATATTTTAATTAAATACATCTAAAATCCTAGTTTATCTTTAAAAATATAAAATCTAATAACATATTTGATTTCTTTTTTAAAAAGAATTTTTTATTTTTAAAAATAAAATACAGTATAAATTTGTATTCTGTAATTTATTTTTAAAAACAGATTTTTTTTTAAAAGAGTAATCAAACATACTCTAATTTTTTAATTTTTATATATAAGTGTTAAAATTTTAATTCAAATTAATTATAAGATTAACTTAATTTAAATAATTATATTTGAGAAAAATAAAAAATATATATAAATAAAATAATGGGTAAGTGCGACTGAAAGATTTTGATCCATCGAGGGTGACCCGTTTTCGTAGTATTTGCCTGTTGGCCTTTATTACCTAAATGAAAAGATGAAGAATAACAAATTGAGAGGAACAAACTCATCTGAATCCGTGAATCATTTATATTTTCCCTTGTTTTAGTTCTGAGTAGAGGAATGGAAAATAAGATGCGATCAAAATCGTGGGACAGTTAAACATAACGTGCCGCTCCCTTCGAATTATTTCTGCCAACGTGCTTATAGACCTTATGGTTTTGGATTCCTTTGTAGTCATTTAACAGCATGGCAGAGGTTTTACTTTATTAATGATAATTTTAACCAAAAGTTGATCCAAATAATCATTTTATACTATCCAGCAATAGTAGCTATATATAGGGAACTTACAACTGACCAAAAAAATGCGAAATTCAGCATAGTTTCACCCTATTATTTTAGGGAAGTTCCCTGTCATCTATGAGGGCTCCTCTGTAACCTCTCTCATTGTTTCCTTTCGCCTGTCTCAATCTTTGCATAAAAAATTCATTAAGCAATATGTTATTACATTCGCAACTCACCACATCTGAACTTGATATTGTATCAGGAGTTATGTATTGCAATCTAAAGCATCGTTAAGGTTTGACATATATGCCTGCCAGCAACAATAAACTAAAAAGTATCCTTAATCCTCGCGACAGATGAGATATACCTCACAACCCACAAAGCACAACTTTAACATTCTACCAACCATACTTATCATTTCCTGCACCCTCTATATAATCCCTCTCTTCCTCGCCTCTCACATATCAAACACACTTTCAAACCATATTTCCACAATCACCAAAGCCAATTCAATCACATACACCCTTCCATTACCAACTACAAGATGAAGCGAGGTCTCTTTTCCTTTTCCTTCTCTCTCCTCCTACTCATGTTCATGTTTTCTTCATTTTACTCTTCCTCCACTGCTGCACCAGCACCTGCAGCTGCACCAAAAGTTCCTCCGAAAGCTGCACCAGCCCCAAAGGCTAAAGCGCCTTCATCAAAACCATTTGTCCCCACATTACCACAATCTCCAGCAGACACCTCTGATTCTACCCCTGATGACATCACAAGGATTCTAAGGAAGGCCAAAACATTCACCGTCCTAACACGCCTCTTGAAAACCACAGAAATCATGAACAACGTCAATTCACAACTCATAACAACAAAAGGTGGTGGCTTAACAATCCTTGCACCTGATGACGCTGCCTTCTCAAACCTCAGAGCAGGCTTCCTCAACTCTCTAAACGAAGGCCAAAAGATTGAACTATTGCAATTCCACATTCTTCCACAGTATGTTTCCAGCTTAAATTTCGATTCTCTGAGCAACCCAGTTCAGACAGTAGCTGGCAAAGACCCCAAAAGGCTACCACTGAATGTGGAGTCATATGGTAGCAGTGTGAATATATCAACGGGTGTTGTGAATGCCACAATAACAGGTGTAGTGTACTCAGATAACAAGCTTGCCATATATCGTTTGGATAAGGTGCTGCTTCCTTTGGATTTCTTTGTAAAAACTGCTCCAGCTGCAGCTCCAGTTGTGGCAAAAGCACCAAAAGCTGATAAGGAGAAATCATCTTCAGAAGATGAGGATGAGACAACACAGGATCAGAACAAATCTGGAGCAGTGAGTTTAATCAGCTTTCAGGGAACATCGTTGATGTCCCTCGGAGTAGCTTTCATTGCAATGGCAACATTATGGAGTTGAGTTGAAGACTGTCCATTTGGCAGCTGCATGTGAATTTCTGAAACAAGTTTCTTTTTTTAATCCCCTTTAAATTTTGTTCAGTCTTCTCTTTGAGTATTTCTTATGTATTTGGGTCAATATATGAAGATGGTGGGAACCTTGTGTATTTCTTGGAAAAATCTTTGATTGGCTTTGAGTAATTTGATTCAATGTATCGTGTCAAAAACAATATCCATGGATGCCCAAGAAAGAAAAAAAAACCATAAAAAAATATTTGTGCTCGCACCCATTCATCTATTTCTTCGCTGAGTGGGATGTGGAAGTTTGGCATTTGGAAGGTTTCAAGGTTGCCGCGAGTGGAGTCCAATATGAAGTTCATGAGACTATTAAAGTTGAGTAAAGTGGGTTACTCAAGGAAAAATGAATTTACTTATATAAAACATTAAAAATAATAGCAAATAACAGAGAAGAGAAGTTGAGGGGCAATAGAATAAATTTGAAAGTTTTCGCTAGCATATACCTCTTAATGATACATAATGGTCTCAAAGTAACTTTCTAAGTCGATTCCTTACCAGAGTTTTTTTTTTATATATAGATAGATGTCACTAACACCATGTTTGATTGGGGGTGCTATTCCTTCATATCATGTAAAACTTCACTTTACATTGCATTTTGGTGTACCCTCTTCAAGGACCTTTTTTCTGAGGTCGACACCTTTGTTATCATGTTAATTAGGTATATCTTTGTTTCACATTTACTTGTTGGCTCAAGTCCAATATTGGATTCATGATGTGGCACACAAAGAAACGTAGGTAGAACCAAAAATGTTTATACCGATATTATATATTTTATCGAATAACTTCCTTCTTTTTTTATTATATAAAAATCTCGTTAGTTTTTTTTATTTTTCTTTTCTTTGGTGTGTTAAAGCCACGGGGTTCCTGGAAATAAATTATGCTCAAAAGTTATTTACGTAGCATAAGCTTCACCGATAAAATCTCTGCGTTGATATATAAAAGCAAATCAGATTTATGAAGACTCCTGTAACTTTTTTTTACTAGTTATATATCTTGTTAGTGAGCTAAGACCTTCCACTCCAAACGCAATCTTGGTAACTTTTGTTTGGGCGTACGAGTTTTACAGCCACAAAACCTCCAAAGAAAAGTGATATAAAGGCAAGTGTGGGTTACACACATATAAATCCATTCAAAATATAGTGAAATTGTGTAACACCAGAATGATATTTTTCCGTTAGGAAAAGAAAATGAGAAAAGTTAAGAAATGGGTTCAAAAGTACTTGAAAAATATTCTTTTAAGTGGTCACCGGATTTTTTTATTTTCAGAATATAGCACTATACTATGCTCATTTCTCTAAGGGGATATTAATGAGAAAAATAACAAAAAATTATAAAATTTCTTTTAAATGCTTACTACTAATAAACTAGCGCTAATATTATATATCTTTTAAAGATTCTAATCATTGTACTTTCTCTAATATTTTAAAGATTAAAAAGTATTTATTTTTTAAAATAAATCATTAATATATCTCTTAATATAAAATTAATGACAATTGTTTGACGTAAAATTTCTTCTTAATTTACAAATTACTGTCAAACTTTCTTTTAATTTTCAAGAATTTTAAAAGGGTGGATATAGAATGATTTATAAACAGAAGCAACACATGCATGCATCTAACTTACGCCTATGGAAAAATAGGCCTACGTCACATAGAGCTCGCACTCTGTTTTCCCCTCCTTCTCAAGCAAAACAAAACAAATAAAAAATTGCCCTGTGGTTTCAATCTTCACTGACGCGCCACCTTAATCTCCTTGCCAGATAACCACATACACCTCACAAAGCTCCATTGCATTCGATTCTCCTCTCTCACTGTGCTTTTCCTGTCCCTTAAACTGCTTTATCATCGAAACTACTCTCAACCACATATCCATCTTATTGATGAAACACTTTAATCAGAGTTTTATTATATCTTCCTAACGATCCTCTTATTATTTTATAAAAGAAGAACTAAATAAAAATATATTATTTTATTATTTTAAAAATATATAAAGTATTTAATAATTTTTTATAATAATTAAACAATTTGAAGTCACAATAATTAGTAGAAGAAATTGAAATTACAATTTTTTAATGTAAACAAGCACACAATAAAAATTTATATAAAATAAATTTGTATTAAAATAATAAAATATTACAAAATTTATTACATTAATAACCTTAAATATATACTACAAATTTTAACGATATATTTTTTCAATTTCTTAATGTATAATTTTAATCCCACGTTAAAAAAAACTAGAATTATTCCCTTGGTTAATTTCCCAATTTAAGTACGTTCAAAAATCACAATGAATCAAACCATTTACCCGCCAATCATTATCAGCAAACCACAATAAAAACCCTTGCGCCATTTCTCCAATGCATTAATCAAACACTCCTTGCAAGTAAGTACTACTCCTACTATTAGATTTCCCTCCCAAATACACCATCACAACCTTCATTGACCCAAAACGATGAAGCAACCTCTCTTACCCATCTCATTATCACTATTACTCTCCCTCTTGTATTCTACTACTTTAGCATTAGCAACCCAATCACCTTCTATTGCACCAGTGCAACACATCCCTACCCCACCAGCTGCATCCCCTACAACTACAGCACCACTGGTTCCCACATTACCCCAATCACCAAGTGACAACACCCCTGACACTGGTGGAACCAATGACATTGTGGGAATCCTAAGAAGGGCAAACTCGTTCAACGTCTTCATCCGCCTCATGAAAACCACCCAATTAGTCAACCAACTTAACTCACAACTCATAACCATAAAATCTGGTGGCTTAACCATTCTTGCACCAGAAGACAGTGCCTTCTCAGAACTCAAACCAGGCTTCCTCAACTCTTTATCTGATGGCAAAAAACTCGAACTCCTTCAGTTCCACGTTCTTCCAGACTATGTCTCTAGCTCAAACTTCGATACCTTGACAAACCCTGTGAGAACACTAGCAGGAAATAAACATGGGAAGGTGGAACTAAACGTTATAAGTTATGGTGGCAGTGTGAACATCTCAACGGGACAAGTGAACACCACAATCACTGGCATCATATATACGGATAAGCATCTTGCTATTTATAAGGTGGGTAAGGTTCTTGTTCCTTCAGAATTCTTCCCTACCAAGACAATAGCGGCAGCACCTACTTTAGCACCGGCACCAGCAACCGATGCGGCTATGGCGCCTAAATCTGATAAGCAGAAGCCCTCATCCTCTGAGGATTCCTCGGAGACGTCGCAGGTTGTTCCCACTGAGACTTCTGGCGCTATGAGAAGAATAAGTTTTTGTGGAACCTTGGTGTCCCTTGTTCTTGGTGTTGTCTTCGTGGCAGTGTTTACAAAATGAATTTTTATTGATTGATGTATCTAAATGTGGGGCATGCAAAATAAGAAACTGAGGGGGGATTATGTTTGTCATAGTGGATTGTTAGTGCATTATGAATTTTATTATGAATTTATTATTTTATTCTGATAAACGAGTTTTATCTTACCTTTTCGCTTCTATGCATGTTTGTATCTATGTGGTTGTTGTCGTCGTCGTCTTCTTCTTCTTTCAATTTATTACTTCCTTAATTTAGAACATAACATACAGACTTAATATTTATTTATAACTTTTTTTAATATAGACTTTACTGGTATTTAATTTTTCTTTATTTATGATAAATGTGTAGAATATTTGAAAATTGTGTAAGAGTAAAGACATGATTAAAATGAAGACAATTAATATTGTCTTAAAATTTTTAAATGGATAAATAAATTTCCTTTTAAAATAAATTTTAAAAATGAAAGAGAAGAACAGAAAGACAAACAAGAAAAGCAAAAAACAAAAAACTAGATCCGAGAAGCTTGGAACCATTTGACTTTGAATGACTAACTTGAGTCCCGAAGCCAGTTAAAATCTTATTGAGTTGAGTACTTCCTTAAATTTTTAATATTTAATTTAAAAGATGACATATTGATTAAATATTCATTTATAATTAAGGTTATTTTCAGTTTTAAATACAGCCTTTGCGGGTATTTAGTTTTTCTTCTATTTATGATAAGTGTGAAAATATTTAAAAATTATGTAAAACTAAAGACATAATTAAAAGGAAGACAATTACTATTTTCTTAAAATTTCTAAATGGATAAATAAATTTCCTTTTAAAAATAAATAAATGAAAGAGTAGGAAAGAAAGACAAACGGGAAAAAATAAATAAACTAGACCCGCGAAGCTTGGAGTCATTTGACTTTGAGCAACAACCTGAAGTCCCGATCAAAGCCAATTAAAAGCTTATTGAATTTGTTAATTGCGCAAGTCATCCTTCAATATTCATAATTATGAGGTTTGATGGTGATTATTTGTTAAAAATAAATTGACTAATTAAGGTAGTTTTGAGAAGACAATTTTCGTAGAAATTATATAACTAGTATAAATATTAAATTTATATTAACAATATAATATACTCCCTCCAGTCTTTTTTATAAAAAATAAAATGGAACATTTTTTTATTCTTATTATAAAAAATAAATGATATATTCAAGAAGTATTAATTATTAAATAAAATTATATTCTTTTTTTATTCATATTATTAATTGTACACGTTATTAACTACAATATTTAATATCATGAGTATTTTTAAAATAAAGTTTATATTTATAGAAAATATAAGTGACTTAATTATTTTTCTTGATCTTAAAGATTTAATCTTTTATTTATTATAAAAAAGATTAGAAGTAGGATCATATTAACATATTTGATAGAATTACTAATAAAATTATTTATTAGTAATGAATAGCAATATTTTCTTTTTTCTTCTCTTAAAATTACTACAAAAAGATTATATTTCTTAAAAGAAAATTAATTAATTGCACGAAATGAACTTATATGTAAAATCTTAAGATTTTTGCATCGACTATTTTCGCTCATTTGTTAGGATATGTTTGAGAGAGAATTTTTGGAAAAAAAAGGAAGAATTATTTTTTAATTTTATATTAAAAGAATTATATATTATTTAAGATGATAACTATATTATTAATACATTGAGTTTTTGTTATTATATTAATTTATATATTTTATTTTTAAAAATTATTAATTTTAAATATATTTATTTAAAATATAAGAATAAGTTCTCATTTCTCTTCCCCTCTAAAAACTCTCTCTCAAACATATCCTTAGACTCTACAATATTTAAGTAACAAATAATGAATGTCAACTTCTCCATAAATATAATTAGAATAAATAATATCTAAATTTTTATCTTTCTATATATAAAAAGTAGATATCTCATCTCTTTATCTTTATGCATATATAAGGAAATATGACAGAAGAATTCTAGGATGACAATTATATAAATTTATAAATAAATTTAATAATATAATAAAAATATACACGACTCTCTATTGGTGTAAAGTGTCTACATAATAATCTTTTAATTTTTTCACAACACCTCAATTAAAGATCATTTCAAGCCCACTTGGACTTCGTAATAAGTAATAGTTCTTTGCCAAATTAATAGGAAGTAATAACAAATACAAAAAACGAATCAATTTGATGAATATCTTTTTAGATATAATTGATCAAAGACGAAATGGCTCTGCTACAATTCTAATAGTTCCTCAATCCAAATCTATACCTCTGTCAGACAATGACTAGCAATTTGGGAATATCATTTTCTCCTCATTGATACAAATTGCATAGCCTATATATTTAGAATCCTACGGCATCTCTCAAATTACGTTTTTATATATCCATGCATCTAACTGATGACAACCCGCGATGTAACAATGTGAAAAGAAGCTCAATGTTCTTGACAACACTTTTCTATCTTCCCACTACCAAATTATTCATAATTGGTTTCTGAGAATTGTAATCATGAATGCTGCGCTACCTTTCCATCTGATAGGTAAGGAAAAGCTGTGTTGGAAACCAATCCATTCTTTCTAATTAAACTCCCACCTATAATATCAATCATCATTCCCTCCCAATTTGGATATAAAAAGGAAGCCACTTTGCCCTTTGTCCTCACACAATAAAAGCAAGAAACTCTCAACTCAAGTAGCATTCTTTATTTCTTTATCTCAAACTCTAATCTTTTTAACAATACCTTACAAAAATCAAATCATTCAACCGCCAAAATGACACTGAAAAAAATTATCTTCTCTGCCTCACTTTTACTACTTCTACTCACCTTGTTCTCCACCACATCAGCTCAAAAACTATTATCCCCTGTTCAGCCTCCACTACAATCTCCTCCAACCCCAACACAACCACCGCAAGCTCCACCACCGGCGGCAGCGCCTGGAATGAGCACGGTTCCCCTGGTACCTGTCTCACCCGACGGTGCCCCCACACCCTCCATCCCAAAACCCCCCACCATTGACATTCTCCAAATCCTTAAAAAAGCCAAGAGATTTTCCACTCTCATGCGTTTGCTAAAGACAACCCAATTGATGAACCAACTCAATTCACAACTTGCAACTTCAAACTCTGGAGGGTTAACTATGTTTGCCCCTGAAGACAGTGCTTTCTCAAAGCTAAAAGCAGGGTTTCTAAACTCTCTCAATGATAGGCAAAAGGTGGAGCTTTTGCAGTTCCACACTCTCTCTTCATTCATCTCTGTCTCCAACTTCGACACCCTCACAAACCCGGTTCAAACCCAAGCCGGCGATGACCCCAAAAGGCTTCAATTGAACGTCACCACTTACGGTGGCACCCAAGTGAGCATGACCACCGGTGCAGTTTACGCCACCGTGACGGGTACCGTGTACGCGGATAACAAGCTTGCCATTTATCAGGTCGATAAAGTGCTTCTTCCACTTGATTTTGTGCTTCCTAAGGCTAAGGCCCCGTCACCGTCACCGGCGAAAGGAGTTTCACCAAAATCCGATAAAACGAAGTCGTCTGAAGATGAAAGTAAAAATGATAATGGTGATGATGGGGTAGTTCCTGTGGACGCTAATTCTGCAGGTTCTATGATGGGTTTCAACAAGGTGGAGATTGTAATGTGGGTGCCTCTTTTGTGGGTTCTTGGAGCCACCATATGAATATGTTGTTCAGTTTGTGATTGTTTTTTGTGCACATTAATTTCGGAGTTTGAATTGTTTGTAGCATAGGATGTCGATTGAGGACAAAATTCTGCAATTGCTTGTCTTTTTCATTTCTTGTTTGTTGTGTCAATTGAAATGCAATTTCTTGTGTCAAATCATTTAAAAAGAGAAAGTTACGATAGTTTGGACCCGCAGAGTGGTTAGATATATAAAAAAAAGTTATCTTTGTGGGATCCTTACCCCATGAACGTGGCATTTTTTATTATAAAAAAATTAAATACAGCATTATAGATATTTACATAATAATAATTAATATTAAAATTTTACCCATCAGCATTGACATATTTATTAAAGTGTTTATAAAATAATTATTTTCCATTGAATAACCACCACTCAGGTACTAGTTTACTACGTGTTTAGATCATCTCCACTAAAATATTTGCCCAGCCAATAATATCATACAAAATATGAGTACTTGAATTATTCATTGCACAACAATTAAGAAAAGAGAAAGTATATAATAGATAGATTAGATTTTGGCTGCAGAGAAATTTCACTGAACAGACAGAAGAGAATCCAAATCCGTTTTACCATATACGCTTTCATTCTGCTCTTTACGTATATTTCAATCTAACAGTGCATGAATACATGGCGGTAGCTTTATTTGAACCAAAGAAACAAATAAAAAAAAACACAAAAATAAATCACATGGTTCAACGGTACACATCATTACATTTTTTAAATAATAAAAAATTAATATAATATCAAACACATGATATATGTATATATATTAATTATAATAATAATATATTATAAACTCAACGAAATTAACTTGTTTTAAAGTTTAAAATACGTTTTCCTGATATATACTATCGTGTGGTTTAGCTTTAATAATTTTTTTGAGTTTAATTTTAAAACACTATAAATATATAAATATTTTTATACTGTCAATCAATTAAAATAAATAATATTTAAAGAAGTACAGTGACCTTGGAAAAAATATTTCATTCATAACCTGAAAAGGCATACTTACAAAAGAGTAATTTTAGTATTGTAAACCATGAGACGTGAATGAAAATTTACATGTATTAATATTATGAAAGAGAAAATTAAAAGTATTTAAAAATATTATAAAAAAATAATAAATATTTAGATAATCTTTCTTAATGTATTTTTTGTCTAATAAAATTTAAATTATTGATAAAAAAAATTAAAAGTATGTACTAACAAATAATACAGTGTAGATACGTTTGTATATTGATAGTATATATTAAAATTATATGCTATGAAATTATTTATTAATATATCATATCATATTATTATAAAATCAACACACTTATGTTAAAAATTTAGTTTTTATTAAAAACATGTATTAACTGAAATTAATCTAAAATCATTAATAAATGATAAAAAAAATTGCAGTGAATTAAACATTAGTTGTACACTAATCGAAAATCAAATACATATCGAACCATGAATCCAATCCCAATCGTAACACCTCTGGTCGATCCTCACAGCAATTTCATCCACCTTCATAATATAAATGAATATCAAAGAATCCATATTCTTCACCAACTTCGTTGCACTACTTAATTCAAGCCCCCACACCATTACCCAAATCACATTATACCTAATTCATTCTCATTACCCTCAAAATGCATTGCATTTTCCAACCTAAAGCACCTTTGAACAATATGACAGGCAAAAGATGAAGCTTTCAAAGTTCCACACGATATATCTTCTTAAGGATTCGATCGGTGCGCCAGTCATAATGGTGTCCTTCTGGTGAACTCTTATGGCTCTATGTAACTTTTCACCTGCAATTGTGGCTGCAGCAACCACAATGACATGAGGCTCAAATTGATCTTTAGAAGGGTCCAATATTTTATTATTTTGTTCTATTCTATGTTTTGTTCTGATCTGTTGGATTAAATGGTCACCGCCGACTTCTCTCTAAGATCAAGTTACGGAATCAAATTTTCTTGTCCAGTCTGTTGTCATCTTTTTAAATGGTGAAACAAGTCAGAAAAAAAAAAATCTTCTAATGATAGTAATTTCTTGCTTAACTAGTTTTAGTTTTATTGGATCTCCTCGACATTCAATTGAGAGGATAGAACGAAGATTTAAATACTAAAAAAATTTTATGACAAAATTTATGAGAAGGAAATATGCTCCTTGACAGAAGAGTTAAGAGTAGTTATAGAAATTATTTTTATTATTTTTTAATCTTTTATTATCTCTTTAATAATATGTAATTAGCTTGCCGTCTATAGCAATGAGAAACCAAGGGGCGTCAATGTTTTTTATCATGTTGAAATATCAATGACAATGTTTTGCTTTATAAGCAAAAATTGTACCTTAATCAAAAATTTGTATTTTTATTGAACTCTCATTTTAATTTATAAAATAATAAATATTAATCATTTTAATCTTTAAATTTTTTAAAATGTTATATTAGTTCTTAATTTTTATCTTTATCCATCACTTTAATTCTTAAAATCATACATTGTTAATGCATAATAATATCATTTTTTGAAATGTTGAATGCTGAAAACGAGAATTTTCTTTTTTAGTATTTGCTTGTTACTAATATTCATTAGACTATATATTAAACTTTATGATCTTCTGGTTGATAGTTTGATATTATATCTCATCAATATTAAATATAAGAAGTGAAAATTTTCGTTACTTTATATATGGCGAGTCATTATACATAAAAATTGTTGGAGACCTTCGTCTCTAATATTGTAGGAGGTTAAAAAACTATTAAAGGATGAATATAATCTCTCGTTTTAAAAGATTTTAGTCATGCATGCAGAAGATTGAAGACTTATTATTAAAAGATTTTGTTAAACTTAACTCTTAAACTGAAGATAAATAATTAATAATAATAAAATTTTATTAAAAAAATATTTATTATATTTTTATAACTTCAATACAATAACTTTATACTTTTTTTATAAATTTTTTTTATTTGTGTATGTTTAAATTCAATCTAAAAACTGAAGTTAACAAAATTTATTATTAAAACCGTAACCTACATCAACGTCTTTACTTTGTATGTTCATAAAAATAATATACTCTTTAAAGTTTTCACTTGAGATTTATATTTTGTGTTATGTTCTTTTTGGTCATGTATTCTTTTTTCTACTCTAATTTAGCATGTCAAAATCATAAATATTTCTTTTCTATTTGTCATATATATAGGTGCATGGTAAAATAATTATGCCTAAGAAACTCATAAACTTATGAGTTACTTGCGATAAAATTTTTTAAAGAAAAACCAAGGAAGTATTTGATTAAATTCTGAAAATAATTTACCATATAAATTACTTTAACAAGTTTTGTAATAAACCTTATCAAAATAAGTTTACGTAATATTTTTTAATTAAATCAGTACTTAATTAAATTATTAATACAAACACTTTGATATATGTCGGTCAATTTTCCATGATATTAATCAATTGTATATGGCTTATGGAATGAGTGTAATTATATTTATATTCTTATAAAGTAAAAAGAGAGGCGAGGGGGAGAAAAATAAGATAACTATGAATTCAAAAATTGGTTGAATGAATAATAAAACTACTGAACATATCAATTCATTTAACTGTTGTCATTGCATTGAATCACCGGTAATATATATATATATATATATATATATATATATATATATATATATATATATATATATATATATATATATATAACAACAAAGTTGAAACAGCTGGAAAGAAAGCATTTACCTCTTTATATAATTTTTAATTTGAGGGTGGAAAGCAGTTCACGGCCTCCAAAAGGTCACTGAAAACAAATTAAAGGTAGGTCATAGCTAGCCACCATATCTGACGCTGTAAAGTTGTATCAATGTTAGAGCATGGACTAAGTTAAAAAGGAAAAATAAAATTAGTAGCACAGTGCTATTTTCTTCTACGACATGCATGGAGGAAAGCGCTTTGTATGTTTCTGCTTCTATAACCTATGATACAATATAATTAACTAGGGGAAGCGATAACATAAAGAAAAGTAGGAAATTTCTTTTTTAACAATATACAACAATAAGCATAGAATAATGGAGAGAATATATATTGTCTGTTCCAAAATGCAATGGCCCCCACGTCCCTCACGGGATGTCTTTATGTTATCGATTTCATCATGTGATATCTCCCAGCTGTTTTACTGTGCATGGCTCCGATTCCGAGTTGACTCGATCACTTGCATGCTACCTCGCTCTAACTCAGTATCAGGCCCCAAATGTCATCGTTATATCGTGAATTGTGGTACATTTCTGCTGCTGCTAACAGCTATGTATCGTACAACGTTACTAGCTTAATTCACAGCTATTTCAATACATGCAACTCTATCATATCAGTAATGTTCACGGAACTGGCTTTGCAGGTTCATGAACTGATTTTGCTGCAATGTTCTGCTTAATGAATCATCTCCAACGCCCATGAAGTCTTTGGTCAAGTGGTCTTGATTGTTTGAACTTGAATGCACTTGCTCGTCCATTATTGGTGCTTGTCCCCACTGCCACTCTTCATTGTTACGTGGCATTACCGTATGATCCAAACCCTTCGTACTAGGCAATGAAAACCCACCTCCAACGTTGGTGCTTGCTTGGGAATTCACCATATGGTTGAAGCTGTCACCGTGACTTGCATGCTTGAAAATTTTTTGAATTTCAACAACGTTATTATTACGGTTGTTGATGGAAGTGCTTGAGATATTCGAGCCCAACAAGCCAAAGGCATTGTTTGAGGTGTCGAAAGGTGAGTTACCATTGATCCTCGAAGATTCGATTTGGGCTGCTTTCTGAAATAATGGAGTAGCTGACATGTGACTTGGGCCTCCATGTGGGTACAAAGAGCTCACGCTATGCGACAAGTCCCTTTTGTTTTCTTCTTGTTCTAGCTTCAGCACATGTGGCATAGACACATTAGCACTTGTAAATGATGCTTCTGGGTGACGGTAATTCAACCACTGTGCCTGTGGCGATGTCCCAAACATGTTTGCTTCAGGCATGGTTGTTCCAGTTCCTGATGAGAACACACTTGAGTTGCTTGGAACGTTTAGAGGGTGATGAAGTTGAGGATTGGCCTGGTCCAACCATAGTGGTAACCTTAGCTTCTGGTCATGGTCTGCATCCGTAAAATTTCCCATGAATGGTTCTGGGCCTGGCCCACCAAATTCTTGCTGAAACCCTTGTAATTGTAAACCCTGAGGCATCATTCTCGGTGCTTGAGCGTTGATCAGAATATCGTTTCCAAAGTTTGATAAAACTCCTGGAAGTGAAGTCATTCTCGCACTTTGTTCCGCCATGGCATCACAAAAGGCTCTATGCGTCACGAAGCTGTCCTTCCTGATTTGTCACAGAAATATACACCGATAAAAATTAATTAATAATAAACATTCTCAATTTCACAAATCAAAACATTAATTGGGTTTGCTTCATGTCCCGCATGCATTAAATTCAATGAACTAGGGACATTTTGATATTGTATCACACGTTAAATAGTTGGACAAAAAAAAAAAAAAAACTTATTACAACAAAGCATACATTAGGATGTCATGTGTTTTTCTCCTACAACAAATTTGTAACACATCAGTGTATATATACAAAGTCTAAGATGAAAACAAATTTGAATGAAGAAGATTATTAATTCCAATAAAGACTCGTGTTGAAGAATTAATTAATAATTAATGGGACTCCCAAGCTTCATACATTGAAGCTTGTAGTAATATTAATTATAGTATAACCTACCTGGAGAATATTGTACCACAGTCACATTTGTACTGTCTAGTCCCACAAATCTTGTTATGGGCCTTCCAGTCAGATTGAACTGCGTATTTCTTGGAGCACTTGTCGCACTTCCACTTCTTCTCACCGTGCTTTCTGCTGAAGTGCTTCTTTATCCCAGTGAGGTCTCCAAGGGCTCTACAAGGGTCATGGTGCACGCAGCTTTTTTCTGGACACACGTACACCTTCTTCCTTACCACCTCTTGCTTCGATCTCTGCCGCAGCTTCCATGGCAGATTGTGCCCTCGCCGATGCAGCTGCAGGTTCTGGTCTCTCTGGAAACCCTTGTTGCACACTTCGCAGATGAATCGGTTCGTTGCCATCAGTGACTTTGGCGACAGAGCAATCACTTCTGCATCTGGATCTGCTTTAACCACCCTCATTATTTTGTTAATTGTAAGTAATTACCCATGAACTAAAAGAAAGAAAAGGATTGAAAGAAAAGAACTTTGACTTGCCTGGTGTTCCGGGTAGACTTCTTTTTCTCTTAACTGATGGATTTGAATTAGGGTTAGGATTAGGGTTTGAGTTGGAGTTTGGGTCATGAATTTGAACCATGGAGCCTCTGAGGTTGGAATTGGAAGGAACAGAAATTGCTTCTTCAGACATCATGCTTGAAACCGGAGGAAGGAAATTGGAGTGTCCTAAACTAGCTGCTACCTTGCAAATTCCAAAAGTACTAGCTAGCTAAAAAAGCTTTGAATCACACAAGCAAGGCACAGGCACTACTAAAACAAATAATGTTCAAGAAATTAGAAAAGAAAGCTATTTAATTATCATTTATTTAATTTTCCAATTTGAGGCAAGAAAAAGTAGAAGAAATTGAAATTGGTTTTACATGTGAATCGCGGTGACAGCACAAGTCTTCAATTTGGGTTGAGAAGTGATGCTTTGAAAGAGAGAAGAGAATAATAAAATTTTTGGCCAGTGTTTTACTCCTTATCAACACGGCTGCTCTGGGTGTCAGTCAGCCATAGACTAAGTTGGACCACTTTTCTCTCTCTCCGTCTCTCGCTTTCTCTTCCATATATACTATCAATTGCACGATACATCGCTAATCAAGTAACAGTGTAATTCTACCAAGTCAATTAAATGAACTGCGGAGGCAGTTCGTACTGTTGTTTGAGTTAGACCCAGCAAGCACATGCATTGGTTCCAACTTACCTCTATCTATCTTTAGTTTCTACATCCATGGAGCATTACTTCACCTTCCCACTACCTAGTACAAATGTTTTTGGGAGACAAACTTTTGTAAATCTCATGTATAACTAATGCTTTTAAGACATTTGTTGTATTTTTCTGAAAATATTATTAATATACGTTTATTGATATTGATAATATATTTTAAATTTTGAGTAATATATATATTTAAAATAATAATTATAAACATACTCCCAAATTTGTTTCAAATATTAATGTTATATATATAATTTTACTTAAAAAAATTGTTCACATGTTATTTTTTCATTATTTTAGTTTCTTAATATGGTAAAATTTTAAATTTTTGAATAAGTAATTATAAAAAATTGAGAAAAACTAACTAATATAGTGAGAATGTACTCTTTGAAGTGCCGATTAATTAATTAATATATGATTTATATAAAAGATGTATTAATATTTATTTATCTAGTATATTTAAATCGAATATGTTAAATTTTTAGTCTATTATGAATAAAAACACCAAAATTAATGAAAAATGAGTTAATTAATTACGTGATGGGAAAGTAATATTTAGAATAGCATGAAAAAGTAATTAAAAATGACTAGACTCTTCTTTAAATATCAAACTCAATAGGCAAAATTTTTTTATGTTAATATTTTGAAAAAAAATTAATATTATTATATGTATTTAAAATTGATTGTTTTATTAAAAATTTATTTTAAATATAATTAGTATTTCTAATATAAATTATTTTTGTATCTTTTACATCGGCCATTAAGAATAATGTAAAGAAAAAATTTAAAAATGTTAAATTAAATAAAAATATTTAAATACTTTTAAAGCCTTTGAGCAAGATTTATTTTTTAATTTAATCCCTGTTTTAATAAATCAATCACGACTTTATTCAAATTAAATTAACGAATTACTCCTCGTAACCTATCATAATATGTCACACCTCTTCAATCTTTTCTACTATAATATTTATTAACCTCATATTTTTCTTTCCTGTCCTTTCACATTGTATTTTAGTATTATAAATATTAATTAAAAAGATCATACAAAAATTAAAATAAAAAATCTTGGAAAAATGATATAACAATTAGGATGTTTTAAAAATATTTTTTATTTAGGGACTGATTCACAATTTTTTTTCATACGAAGGCCAACTAAGAAAATAATATATAAACTTAAAAAAATATAAGTTTGCAAAATGGAACTCTCTTTGTCCTTATTTGGCTTACCATATCTATTTCTGTAATCAAATTTCAAGTTAAATTTAACGCTTATAAATTTGTTTTTCTAAGTCATGAACGCTTATAATATTTTTTCAAACCAGACTAATGCACATTGAGTGAGTAAAGGACTTGAATAAATTTTCACTTGGAACAAAGTTGATTCCCATAAATAGAGTGAGAGGCCATTAAGAGGTTGCTGATAGGGGGGTTTTACAGGCAAGTTTGAAAATGATTATGGCATAATTGCATTATTTAATTAAGAGAGAGAGAGAGAGAGATGACTGGTTGGGGAATGGGAGCCCACAAAAGTGATTGTGAGAGAGAGAGAGTGAAAGTGTGGTTAGTAAAATAGGAAAGGCACGAGATGACTGCTAACTCTTCATGTGTCTCTCTCTCTCTCTCTCTCTCTCTCTCTTCAACGCATGTTTATGTTTATGTTTATGTTTATGTTTTCTTTCTTAAACGTTGCCATCACTCTGTATCTATCGCATTGCTTCACATTTTTCCATAAATTCGTCCCTTCCCGTGGCCCCCATCTTTCATCCCAATTCTTTAGCTTCCCTTCTTTCCACGTCTATTACAAAATTATACAAATTTAAAATATATTACACTCTCTTCGTTTAAGAAATGTTTAATAAAATAAACTGTGTAATATATAAATGATAAAAAGTTATAATATAAATATCTTAAAATTTTGAATTGAATATGGTATTTAAGGTTATTTATATGATTTATTTATGAGTCTTTGACGGAGATCTTTTGATATTTTAGTCATATTCTTTGTACGTACATGTCATAATTAATAGTTGTACACGTTGAAAAAAAACATAACAATTTTGTGTCATGGTTAATTATGAAAAAAAAAGTATCCCATTAAGTAAAAATAGAAAAATAGAATAATTTATAAGTAATAATAACATATATTTCAATCTTTTGAATTTTAAGTTGGATGCGATTTATTAATGGAGTTGTTTGTTGTGTTTTAGTTTTAGTTTTAGTTTTAGTTTTTATATGTCTTAACACTTTTTTTTATTTAGAATGTAAAGTTTTTTTAAATAAACATGTATTATATTTTTATTTATTTTAGTTAAAATATAAACTTTTCATTCCATTGGAAACTGATGTAATACGTATATTTCTTAAAAATTTATTTATACTTTATCCTTTTTTATTTGTTAATTTAAATTTTTTATCAATAATTAAAAAAAATTATTAAAGTTAAAGAATACCTAAGAGTCATACCTAACTTCAAAAAATTGTGAATCACGCCACACATACACATATTTTCAAAGCATCTGATGTACAAGTAATTAGGCATATTTGAGGATCCACTTCAAAGGTACGGGTAACACTCCCTAAATTTAAGCATGGTTGGGTCGGAAATCACCATATTAATAAAATATTAACATGTCTTTAAAAAATTGTAGTATGTAATGATTTCTGATCTCTAACAAAGGACAACGGCAAAACCCTACAAATCTTCCCAATTAAAATGATCACCTTTGTGAATAATTAAATACACATACATAACTTTGTAAACAATGATTTACTCAAAAGTTTTGTAAAGACAAAATATCATTAATTTCAGTTATGAGTTTCCTGAAGACAGTGTTGATTTAGAGAAAATCATTAAATTGTTAATTTTTACATGAAAAGAATAAGCTAATTGGTCATTTCACTAGGTAAATAAAATAAGAATAAAGGGATAGACAATCAATATTTAAGAACAAAAACATACGACGACTCGAATGCAAAGAGAAAATTGTTATTAACGAGAGTTGAGAAGCTTTGAAATAATAGAAGAATAATATTAGAGGGAGTTCAAAGGATGAATTTGAGAATCAACCATTGAAAAAGATATTGCGTTGAGTTCAAATCTATTTTCAAAGTCACTTTTAGAAGTATACTTTAAAAAATATTTTCCAAAATAATTTTGATAAACAAAACAAATCAAACATATTTTAAGATTTTTTTTTCAAGATATAAAATATTACTAAACTGATCATCTAATCTAAAGTTGGTCATGTTAATTCGCCTCGAGTTAGAATATGTAAGAACTAACTTTATCTAATCTGAATAATTTCCATTAGCACAATCATTATTATTGAATTCGACTAAGGTCTACGGAAAAACCTTTCAATACTTAAGCCATTTTACACGAAATCAAAATCAAAGAATGAATTTATATCTACACCAATAAAAAAAAAATGCACAAGTTTTATTCAAGATGATATATCAAATCACAGAATCGTACAGAATTAGAACAAGCAAGCAAGAAATTTTGTTGAATATTAAAACTTGCTAATATCACTTTTCAATATTACCATTTTTTAAGACGCTTCTTCACTTGAGCGTCAAATCAATAATTTGGAATTTTCTCGTGTAAAGATAATGGCTGCTCCGCGTTTTCATGTTTTGATTTTCTGTTATTATACATATATGCTACTGTGTTCCTTTTCGTCTGTGATATTCCTAAATTGGTTATTTTAAACACATAATTAATATTCATGTTCAAGGAAAGAAAAATTTTTATTTATAAAGATTCTTACTAAACTTTTATAGAAAAAAATAGATTATGTCTTTTCAAAGAAAAATATAACTTAAAAACTAGTATTATAGAAATATCTTTTGACTAAAATGAAAAAATTTTAAGTTCTTATACTTTGATAAGTAAAGACATAAAAATATCTAAGTTCTAAAATTTCATCAAATGAACTACTTTTTGACATATTTTTATAAAGACTAACAGAAGAGTCACATTCTTTGTTGAAAATAAAGCTACATTTCGAAGAGTTTTAAAAGGTTATAAAAAGAATCTCATTTTTTACTAAAAAAAAAGCTTAATTTTAAGAAATTTTGGAAGATCTTTAGAGGAATCTTAATTTCTGTTGAAAAGAGAATTGATTTTTGAGAATTTTTTAAGCCCCTGAATTAAAAGGAGCTCAAAACTTGTCGAAATAGAGATCGACAAGAAAAATTATTTTAAGCCCATGAGACTTAATGAGCTCATAAATTTTTCTCATAATTGGTCGACGACAAGAATTGACAAGAAAATTATTCTAAGTCTACAAGACTAAACAAACTCATAGATTTCTCCCAAAACTAGTCAAAAAATAGGAACTGACAAGAAAATTTATTCTAAGACCACGAGACTAAATAAACACAAATTTTCTTCAGAATTGGTAAAAAAAACATAGGCTATTATTCTAAATTCACAAGAGTTTTTGATAGGTATCCTCAAAATTTGTCAAAACATTAAATGACAAGAAATTTATTCTAAAGCCCAGATGCAAGATGGAACCCAAGAGGTGAGTAAACATGACAAAAAACTATAATGTTTGAAGCAACTATCAAAGAAACGGTTACCAGTAATTAACATTAGTTGAAGATCAAAGAATTGTGGGCACAAAAAAAGGATCGTGGGTAACAGCAATTATTGAGAAGGCAAGATCATGAACAGTTATGGATAACGGGTGACAATAATTGAGAAGAATCAGTAAACCATGCACAGAAGGCAGTTACCAAGAAGAGTTTGTGAAAGAAGAAGAGAGGTTGAGATACACCACCGCCTATAAATATCACAAAGCTTCATATTTCAGGGAATAATTTTTTGCACCCAAACATTGCACTTAAACTCTTTGCACGCTAAAATTTTGCACCTAGCCAAAAACCAGCTACCAAGAGACACACGGTTGTTGTTGCTCATTACTAAAGTTGTATGTTTATTTTTTCTGCAATTTGTTTTCAATCTCCAATTTCACTTTATGTTTATTCCTGCAATTACGTCTTTGTTTAGTATATTTCTGTAAATGTTTACATTCAGGTTAATACTATTTCTA